CGCTCGCAATAGCGCCCCACATACTCTCTCCGTAGTCCTCCTCCGCTGCTGCCTCGGGGTTCTCCTCACCCTTTTGCTGCTCCTTGGCTGCTGCACCTCTCTCCATAGGTTCACCAAGCTTGCTGGTCCCTCCAAGATTGCACTTCTTGGACTCCTTCTCCTTAGCGCGACCGTCCGCGCAATCGCCGCTACCAACCGCTCCACCTTTGGTGCTGATGCTTGCTGCCACTTGCCTCTCCTTAGGCATTGGGACCACAGGGATCTGCCACATCTCGTTGTAGACATCTCTGTCCTCATGAAGGTCCCAAAGAATCCGATCGCCAAGCCTTGCGGTGTAGGTCTTGGCTCCCTTTGAGTTCGTGTCCATGCCGGCCTTTGCCAACCGCCGCACGGAAATCAGGTTGGCAGCAAGGCTGGGCACCCAAAGCACATTCTTGAGGCCCACCATCTTCCCATCAGCACCCTTAAACATGGCCTTGCCCATGCCTTTCACCTCTGCTCGCTGCCCCAAAGCTGATGTGACATGCTTCACCGGTGACGGTTCGAGTTCGGTGAGCAAGTCCGGGCGAGGTGTCATGCTATAGGTAGCGCCACTATCGATCACCCAATAGTCCAGAGGGTGTAGAGTCACCTTCCCCACAGCTGCTAGCTCCTCAAAGCCTTCATCTTTCTCTGGACCAGTCGGTACTTGCGTCGACACGAAGTAGAATAGACCCGGGTACCGATCGTTGCTCGGGTCCTTGTCGTTGTCTCCGCTCTTCATGTTTGCAGCTCCGCCACCGCGACCGCCACGGCCTCCACGGCCTCTTCCTCTCCCTCCTCCTGCTCCTCTACCCTCTTGGCCTTGAGCAGGGGTCCAACCATCAGGGAGTTTGTAGCAGTCGCGCCACATGTGTCCGCTCTTGTGGCAATAGTGACACTCGCCGTCGAATCGGCCGCGACCGCGTCCGTAGCTCTTGTCGTCGCTGCCGTAACCGCCACTCCCGCGGCCTCCGCCAAAGTTGCTGCCACCAAACCTTCCTCCCCCTCGTCCTCTACCTCTTCCTCGACCATATCTACGGCCGATGCTCGCTGCCCCAGCGCCATCCGCACTCGCCAACTCACGGCGGCGGAAATCCTCTTGAAGGATAGCTCGCTTCACGTCTTCAAGCGAGAGACGGGGCAAGTCGCGATTAAGGTTGATGATGAGCGAGGACTATGACTCAGGGAGTAGGGCCAGCAACTTGGTCTTCTTTTGGAGCTCACTATAGTTCAAATCAGCTCCCTCAAGCCGCGTCAACAAGTCGAAGAATTTCTGCACCCCTTCTTCAACCGCTTCATCCTCTTCAATTCGTAGTGTCGCCATTTGCCGTTCCAACACCACAGCTACCGCCGCTGTTGCAGGAGCGTGTACACCCTTGAGAGCAGCCCATGCCTTTGGTCCCTTCTCTGGTTCACGCTGAAAAGGCTTGATGTGACGGATTTGGCTGCTCCCCAACGCTTGCCCAAGTAGGAGGTAGCCTTGTGCGCTCTTCCGCACCCACGGGCTCTTCTCCGGGTCGTTCTCGGGACGCTTCTCCGTTCCTTCCATTACCTCCAACAGGTCATAGTGGTCAAATATGTTCTCCCTGAAGGACCACTCAGCAAAGTTGTCACCATTGAACTTGTCAAGGCCAAACACTCTAGGCTCATCCCTAGATGGGCCAACGCTTGATTGCACAGGCGCCATGGCTGAATCACGGGGTTGGCCTTGAGCTTGGGCTTCTCCTCTGCCACCAGCACCTCTGCCACCCCTTTCCTCAGGTCCAGCCATTGTCGAAACTGCTCCAAGGGGCTCTGATACCACTTGTTATAGTCACAATAGGCTCCAATGTGCCTAAAACGAAAGATAGAGTGCATAGCCGGATTTCTGCACAGCGGCTTCAAACGTTCATAGCGTTCTGGTCACAACTTCAAATGACCTGATTCAACTTGGATCTGGAGCGTCTAAACATCGCCTACAATAGGCAATTTAGATCGCACAATTTCACCAAATATTGACGACACAGTGTCGGTTTGAACGAACGGCACTATGGCAGCCACTAAAGTCTTAGAACACAAAATAGGAAGAGATATGAAGAGTTACGAGTTGGGAATGACTCCCAGCTCCTACAAACCCCAAGAGCCGAGGTACAGTGATGTGGAACAGTGCCACACTGTCCCCAACCACGAAGGGTCTCGAAACTACCCTTCACTAGGGCCTACACCAAGTGAAATGTTACACTACACAAAGTAATGTAACTATCTTTAATATCTTGAGGTGTACCCTTTTGGCGAGCTTCGAAATCACTTGAGGCTTGACACCAAGGCTCGGGCTCTTCATCACAAACTCATCCTTGAGTTCTTGATGGGTCTGCTGCACACACCTGCGACACACCGAACGTTCGACACAGGACAAAATAGAAACCGCGCACGACAAAAACAAAAACCGCGCGCGAGACACAAACGACTGCGTAACACGCGTCTAGCGATAACTCGCTATTGACTCGACACACACACTCGACATCATGACTCAACATTCACACACAATTATAAGCATGAAATATATATTATCCCATGCCCTCATACCATTCCATACACACACACATGCACGCACACGGACAACAAGCCGAGTGTAAACCGTAGGGTTGCACCAACAAGAACACTGGGGGTAGCCATGACAGCAGTAGAATAGCAGCACTAACTGTAGGACAGGGGCAGTGCAGTGACAGAAGCGCTGCTCTCACCAGACAGGGCGGTTCGGGCAGCTGAGCAGCACAGCAGCTCGGCAACACGGCGACTCGGGCGACTCGGAGGGCTCAGTAGCAACTGCGGCTCTGTGGCACCAGCGGCTCGGCTCCTCAGCGGCTCAAGCGGCTCGGGCGGGTCGGGTGGCTCGGGCGGGTCGGGCGGCTCGGGCGGCTCGGGCGGCTCGGGTGGCTCGGGCGGCTCGGGTGGCTCGGGCGGCTCGGGCGTCTCGGGCGGCTCGGGCGGCTTGGGCGGCTCGGGCGGAACGGGCGGCTCGGTGGCTTGGGCGGCTCGGGCGGAACGGTCGGCTCGGCGGCGTAGGGCGGCAGGGCCGCTGGTAGGGCGGCAGGGCCGCTGGGAGGGCTGCGGGGCCGCAAGGTAGGCGGCGGGGCCGCAGCGGGAGGGGCGGCGGGGCCGCAGCGAGGGGCGGCGGGGCCGCAAGGTAGGCGGCGGGGCCGCAGCGAGAGGGGCGGCGGGGCCGCAGCGAGAGGGGCGGCGGGGCCGCAGCGAGAGGGGCGGCGGGGCCGCAGAGAAGGGCGGCGGGGCCGGAGAGAAGGGCGGTGGGGCCACAGCGAAGGGCGGCGGGGCCGCAGCGAAGGGCGGCGGGGCCGCAGCGAAGGGCGGCGGGGCCGCAGTGAAGGGCGGCGGGGCCGCAGCAAAGGGCGGCGGGGCCGCAGCGAAGGGCAGCGGGGCCGTTGCGAAGGACAGCGGGGCCGCAGCGAAGGGTGGCGGGGCCGCAGTGAAGGGCGGCGGGGCCGTAGTGAAGGGCGGCGGGGGCTGCAGCGAAGGGCGGCGGGGCCGGGACAGGGCGGCGCCTGGGGCGTAGGGCTAGGCGACGGGGCCGCTAGGGCGATGGGGTCGCCAGGGGGACGGGGCCGCTAGGGCGACGGGGCCGCTAGGGCGGCGCGACGCAGTCGCTAGGGCGGCTCGACGAGATGAGAGAGAGGAGCGCGACTCGGGCGAGCGCGCTCCGGGCAGAAAAAAAAGTTTCGACTTGGTGGGCCCTAGGCACAGTTCCCACTAGGGAACCTGCTCGATACCATGAGAAGACTGAAACGAGAATGAATGAACTATGAATGAACTGAGTACAAGTACTAACCCTAATTGGGTTGTACCCCTTATGGGCTACCCCACTATAGCCTACACAATAAGCACAAGCTATATATGTTCTGACACGACTCACACTCTTCCCGCCGACTCCGAGGTTCTCGTATGCGCAACCAACACCACACGCGCCAGCGCCGCGACGTACGCAAAATCAGACCCAAACTTCCCACGACCAATCCCGTGGGTACCGCAGCCAAAGAAATACCTGCTAGCGACGTGCGTGAGAGGACGGCTGACGAACCGCCACGAGTGCCTGCACAAGTCGCTGCTCGTCGCGATGCTGCTCAACCGCACGCTCATCGTGCCGCCTCTCGACGTCTGCCCTCGCGCGTTCTTCTCCCATCCGCAGTTCAATCTCGCCAATTCTGTCGATCTGGTTCACCTCAGCGCGTGCTTCCATTGCGGAAAAGGTTTTGGGCCCGAGTATCCGAAAACGGGGTCCTCTTCCGAAATGTTGCGGGAATGTATACCGAGGTTTCCAAAAAACACCTAGGGCAATCCGCACCCCTAATCCCACACAAGGGACTCGCCACTGCCGAGTCGCGCCTCCTTGGCGGGACAACGAATGTCCCGCCAATTCCCTCGAACAACGTAGCGCACATTGCAGGCATGCAGCGGATGCACGGCCCGAACAACATGTGGTCCAATATACGCGACATTGCATGTCCAACTGCACACCAGTATTGGGCGCCCTGCAGAACATCTGCCCACAACACTTACGAAGTGAGTACACCACTTCAACACACACTACACGAATTGTGCATCCAAAACTTCATCAACACGAACTCAGGTAAGCAAGTACACAAAATAACAATCCGTCAAATAACACATAGCCCTACCACTGGTGTCTTCCCTCTCAGCATCATCCAAAGCCGCCTACTCTAACAACACATAAAACCACCCTACTCCACTCCCACCTACACACCGCCAACAGCACTACCATCTCAGAGGATTTCGCCAGGCATACCATCGTCGCACACCACACTATCTTCCTTCCCCTCGGCCAACCCACTAGGCTGGCCGCCTGCCGCACTTCCGTCACGAGCACGCTTCGTTGGCATCCTTCGAAGGCGGCTTATCACCTCCTCGTTATGCGCGCCCATGGCCTCGGGCACCTGGCACACTGGTATGCCCTATTTGTCCGCCTCCTAACTGTACTCGCCCGCCACCATCCGCACGACCCTTCGCCGGCTGCGAACGTCCCGATACAGTGGCCCTTCAGGGATACAAAAATACGCTGGTATCTCGTCTTCATCCTCCTCGTCCTCCTCATCCTCCAACTTAATCACGCCCCACTTCATGAGCAGGTCCTCGTCGCAGCCCACAAAATCCCACGAAGTCATATACATACCAGGGGCCCTCTTAAAATTCTCAATAGCCATCTGCAGCATTGTCAGCTCGCTGACAATGGGCTCGAACATCAAAGCCGTGCCGGCGCCATCCAGGCGCTTCATCAGCAACACCCACGCCGTCGGCACACAACCCGCGCGCCACCAGCTCCTCTGAATAGCCGTCGACGACGTCAATTTGCACGCCAGTTCCAGCCTCTTCAGCACGTCGGGAAGTGACGGTCGCGGTACCTCCCCCTTCTTCTTCCACTCGTTGCTGTCCATGGCGTCCTTCATGAACCAGTATCGGTGTATTGCCTTGACCGTGTCCACCACCCTGGTCGTCGACGGGATGCTGCACCGGGGGGGCCCGCCATAAAGCTGCACCACCTTGACACTCAGCAGATTCTGCGCCGCAAACCTGGCAACTGTTTCCGACTCGAACACACAACCAGTAAGCTCGTGTTTCGGGTCGTACACTAGAACAATTGCACGCTCGTTCTTTGCGAATAGATCCCCGTCAAACTTCACCATGTGCTCCGTGAATAGCTGTTGCGACACGACGAAATCAACACAATATACGTAATCAGCACCAGCCTAATAACAACGTGCATTTGTGATTACATTCCAGCAAACCGCGCGGATGCTCACCTCAGAGGACATGCGTCCGTTCTTTGCGTAGCGCACCATGACACTATGCTCACGATGCCGCCCATTGTGTACGGCCCTGCCATCATCTCGCCTCAACACCACAAGCGGATGACGCCACTTGGAACCAGAAGCGTTCACCAGCAAACCCACCGTCATATGCCACTCGCGCGCGATACTGAACTCCGCGTCCATAACAGACGAAACCGGGAGCCTTGTAGGTATGAACGGGAACTCGGAGAACAAGTACACATCGTCAGGATGGGCTTTGAGAGCCTCCAGGAGAGCCACTACCGCCGCCATGCTGTAGTATCACGTCTGGCTAGCACAAAAAACGCAGACTTGATATCCGCTCTCGTGCTCCTCCAAAACCAGGTGACGAGTACTAAGACTGTATAGCTGAGGTTGAAACGATGAAGGTACGTACCAAGCCTCCTCGCCTTATCCCGAACTACCAGAGGTACGGATCGACATTGGCTCCGTAAAACACACCACCTGTCACATCAACCGCTAGCCGCACACGGTGCGCACCACGGATTTCATTGACCGGTGACCACATACTGTACACATCACCGCCACAAGGTGGCATTGTTTCAGTGGATCCCCGCACGCACCAATGGGGTTCGCCGATCCGCTCCGGTATGCACAACCACGCTTAGCACCAATGCACACCGTTGTACAGCGACCGTAGTGCGAAGTCCAAAAAAATAAGTACACGCGAACAAAAACCCGTACACATAGAGGTACTCTCCCGACTAACACCCCGTTAACACAACACTGCATGTCTGCATACTGAATCAAAACCCCGCAGTGCGTACGACACACAACATTCAAACTGCGCATACCATAACTCTTGCCATAGGGTTACAGAAACACACACCAACCTACACAATTAACCAACAGTCCACGACCACCAATATTGTTTAACAAGGACTCTACTCAGCATGGTTTGTGTGTTTAGGGTGGCAGATCACCTTCCCGGCGTAATACTCAAGCCAGCACCACGCCACACAGCATATTAGCCACGGTTGTAGAATTACCCCACACATGAACCCCGCTCTGACAACGCCACCATCAGAACATCCCACAGTCACTGTTCTGCCGACCAGATCACTCGATCAGCAGAAACTTGTTCACCAGGAGCACCTTGGGGTTGCTGAAGCTCCGACAAATGTGCACCACCCTCAGAATCGTGGCCACCTCCACCACAGCGAACCTCGTCTCCTTTCGGTGGGGTGTTAGCTGGATGCATGTGGTAAGGGGGCAGAGCCCAGCCTGCTCAAAGTACCGCACGTACATGTAGCCCTTCGGCTCCCCCTCATCCCCAGCCGCCTTGAAGATGCACAACACCTTGGCAAACCACTCCCCCCCCTTAGGCGACAACAGTGCCACATCAGAAAACCACTTCTCCCCCGGGCTCGCTTTCACAAACGTGCCCTTGGCCACCAAAGCCCCCCCACGCGTGCGCGGTATCGCCACGGCGGTGTGTGCCTGTGGAACACGGATGCGGGATGCGCATGATCAGTCACCTCACGTCTCAATGTCGCAATCTCACCAGCAAACCCCGCAATAACTTCCATACCTGGACGCTCTCCGCCTTCACCCCTGCCGACCGCATGCATCCCACTAGATTCTTCATGTCGTCACCGTGCGACACGCTGTACATCGCCAAGACGGCATCATCCTCCGCCCCAGGCATCATCCTCCGCCCCAGGCACCATGAGCCTCCCCTTCCTCGTGAGGACCGGCTTCTTGGTCCGCACAGCCTGCACATCGGTGAATGCAACGTTCATTACCACCAGGTCGGATGTGGCGGCATTGTGTGTGGCCTCCAAGGGAACCAATCTCACAGACCGAAATGCACCCCTACCTCTCTGAGAGCAGTGGTGTACTGCCACCCGCCGCCTGCATCAGCCGCCACCTCGCGGCAAATCTCACGTTGCACCTCCTCCTCGACTATCCTCCGCGGGATGTCTTTCCAGTTGCCGCCTCGCACCGGCACCTTGACCGTGCCCTTGTGTGTATGCTCCCACAGCTCCGTGTTGTAGTGGTGGGGCATGCCCCTGAGAATCACATTCTCCAGCAAGTGCTTGATCATGTGCACCTTAGGGAACCGCCATCCCGACTTCTGATCGGGGTATGCTTGTGGGAGAAGGTCGACCAGCCTGCCCAATCCATCGCACCAAGAGGTACAGAGGTGTAAATCTGAAGTCCATATGTCCTTCTACTGGCGCAGGATAACAGACATATGCAAAGGAGGCAAGCGGTGCTCACTTGTATGCGAGGTCCCTTGCGTGTGCGAGCGACGCCCTCGTGTGACCATCCACGCCAAGAAAGGTCTTGTAGAACGTTGCGTATAACCGGAAAGCACGCACCCTCATAGCCCTCAGCTCTGCGTCCGGCCCCTTCCCAAGCGCCCCCTTGTCCGCCACCAGAATGGGCATGACTTGCATCATGGCGCGGTGCTCAAACGCCGCGTAGTTGGCTCCACTGGCCAGATAAGAGGTTCCTCCCGGCAGCCGGAGCACTGTGCTCGGAGTCTCTGTCTTTGTGGTCTTCTTTCTCCTGCACGGAAGGTATCGGTAGCACTACAGACAGGAGGTATGAGGACATGTCACACACCAAAGCCCTCTTCAGAAAGTCATATCAAACCCATCGCATGCACGCACCCCTCCACTACGCGCCGCTCGGGCTTGCTGAGTGTGTCGATGTGGCACTCGATCATGTGCAGAGCAACACCGGAGTCCAGCACATGTATAGTGTCAGCCACGCTTGCCCCGTATGGGTTTCCCCACTCGGTGTCCGAGAAGTTCCACCTCCGCAGCACACACTGCACGTGAAGACACTCGTGTAACAAAGTCAGTAACGGCCGTAATATTTTGCCTGCCACATGCACATGCGTTGCTGTGCGGTATATCGTGCAAATCACATCAATCGGGTGTGTTGACCATTCCGACTGCACTTTCTCAGCCTCCTTCACGGTCTTGCAAGCTAGAATCTGCTGCACCGCGTGCTCCTGGGAAGCAGGGGTCCTGATGGTAGATTGGAGCTTGAGTTTTGCCAGATCAGCCTCCTCCACGTAGCATGTGGTGCAGGGTCTCTTGGTCCCGGTCTGCATGGTGGCAGTCGCACGACATGCTTCGCTGAAGTCCGCTGGGTAAGCGTAGTAGCAAGGGACCGCCTTCACAAGTTCCCCGTTTGCGTCCGGCATGTAGAAGAAACGAATGGGACCGCTGGTTCAACAGGCAGTTCCACGCAGAGTTGTAAGATCATCAGCAAGACGCCCGTCTAATCTGGGACGGCACGGTGCGCAGACACACAACGACTATCACTGCCCAGTAGTAAACAAACGCACTCGTCTCGGTCGTCGGTGCATCGTATATCCAAGAACACATTATGGACTCACTTTGCCAACTCGCGCATGAGCGGTGCCAATATGATGCGTATGGCCTCTTGGAAGACCCGGGCCTTTTCTGTAGAGGTAGCCCACCCGGGAGGAAAAGGCAGCACGGCCGCCAACACGTGACCAGGCTCCGTCCATAGCAGGTGCTCAGGAATGTTGAACAGTGTTATGAGTACTGGCCACGCTTGCCGCCTGCCGTTCCTTGTTGCGTTCGTGCCATTGCTATACACAATGACACCCAACACCCATGCTTTCTCGTCTTGTATCGCTTTCTGCGCTCAAACAAGGACGGCCAGGTATTGGCCTCAGCATTACTCATCGATATTGGGACGCCAAGCCCCACAACGTCAGCCCACAATACATCTTACCTCTGCTTCCTGCATCCACTTCCCAGTCTCGGGGTCGCTGAAGCGCCGTTTGCCTGTGGTAGGGTCCAGCTCCGTCCTCGCTTTGGTAACGAAGCCTGGTACAGCGACGAAAGTTTGCACCAACTTCTTCACCAACTGCATGTCATTGCGTTCGACGTTACGGGTTGCAGCCTCATGTTTAGGGTGCAATGAATGTGGCCGTTATATATTTGGAAGCTCGTCCCTAACCTTACCTACTCCGTGTCGCGATAATGTAAGAGCAACTTCTGGACCTCTCCTTTGGGCCCGCGGACAATAATCTCCTCCACAAGCCACGGAACCAGGTCCGTGGGCGCTCTCGCGTTAGCCCATCGTCGCACATCCAGAGCATTACGCCAGCGGCGGAGAGCGCGGAGATTGAAGCGAGGGTTGCGGAAGATGTGCAGCTGGCGGTTTACTTCGCGCCGCGAAAGGTCGGCATCGCGGATGAACAGGTAAATAGCAGTGAGCGTGTCAAAGACATTGCCGTCCTCGCTTTGATCACTACATGTGGACTGCGTCTCATCGTCTACCGTCCCTTCATCACGTGCTGTCGCTTCCGCCACCTCGTCAGCGGCCGCCACTGCATCGTTAGCTAGCGAGTTCGGGCTAGACGTCTCGCCACGGCGCCCTGCGGTACGCGCGGTAATTGCCGCGTAGGCCTCCAGATAGGCCTGAGCTAAGCGGGCATCACGCTTGCCGAGGATGTTGCGTCTGCACTCTGCGCTCTTTGCAAGGTGCGACTGAAGCGCACAGTCATCCCGAAGGACACGCGGACAACCCCTGCAGCGGCAGCCCGCCATATCCGTAACACGGAGCCCTAAAAAGTCCGTGCACTAACGCATGACGCAGTGGACACTGGGGTGGGTATCCACCCCAGTCACAGTCACTGGCTCAACCTCACCCTGGTGTCGTGATCATGATGTTGCTCAAGGAGAATACGCCGAACTGTGTACCGAGTGCCACTTTTGACAATATAGGAGAGCTTCATGTCGGATCTAGGCTGGCTACGTCATGTACTGCCTGGCACCATCGTGTGTGTCCCCACAGCTGCCTTGAGGTTCGCTGTGTTGTAATTGCACAAACTATAGTACTCTGCGAAACAATATGCTGTACACATGTGGGTGATGTTGGACAGTGTGTGTGGATCGACATTACAGTGCGTCGCTCTATGTGGTACGCATTGAAACATGATTGTTTAGATTACAGTAGGTACAACATGGCGCATAGATGGTCCCAGTACACTCGTGCACCAGTTTAACGCAAACGGATTTCGCCAGAGATTACGTTTACACGTTGGATCCCTAAAAAGCACATCTCGGCCTCTCGAGATTTTTCTTGCCAGCAAGACACGGCCGACGTTGACACATGTCACGTCCTGGCGAATTCCCGCCCAGCTGCATGCAGATCTAGTAGCTTCGCCCATCCTGCTCGGGCCCGAAATTCCCAGGCGACATGACTTTCCATTTCGCATAGAAAGCCAAGTATCCGCTACTGTCTTATGTGTGCTCTATGTTAGTTCTTGTCACACTCCATCCAATTTTGTCCAGACTTATGTAACGCCCTCTAATGACGCAGCATGGTCGTGGAGGTATGGCGCGAGACAGGGTAGGTGCTAAAAAACCACGTAGCGGTACGGACAATGGAGACGTCACAGAGGTGCCGGCCTCTGCGCGCTGTCAGAATCCCAACCACTAGACCATTGGGATAAAAGGGCTTGTTTCAGTAGCGGGTCAGTGCGCCCATAACCCCCCAGGCAAACGCGCCTGTAACCCTCTCCAGGATCGATCGGGCATCCAAAGTGCAGATCTACTGACACCCCCCCACACTGGGAGGCCCAGGACTAAGCACAGCGGCACCGGCCTACATGTGCATACACCGGGAATCGAACCCGAGACCACTCTGATACCATGTCAGAATCCCAACCACTAGACCATTGGGATAAAAGGGCTTGTTTCAGTAGCGGGTCAGTGCGCCCATAACCCCCCAGGCAAACGCGCGTGTAACCCTCTCCAGGATCAATCGGGCATCCACAGTGCAGATCTACTGACACGCGCGCACCGCACGGTTCCGCCGTCACAAGGGCGACTCGAAGTACTTCCCGCATGCAGCAAGGATCCGTGGATCGAGAATCAAAAAGCGCCACTAAGAAGCTCGACCTGCCCAAGTACAAGACGAAAGTTAAAGTGAATACGGTGGACCCCGAACCAGATGACGTCGTTGCCCGCGTCGTCAGAAAGTGTAAGGATGTCTCCTTCACATCCATGTCTTTGAACAACCGCGCCGGATAGTCGTGTGTCGTCACCGCTAGAGATCTTGTGACCATCGCGGATGGTCAGTGCCTCACCGATCCGATAATCGACTTTCACAACATGTGAGTCTGAACAGCGCTGGTGAAGCTCGTCGCCGTTAAATACGTCAACTCACCTGGGCGTCCGGACCCCCTCTGTGCAGATTGTTGAGCATCGAACATCCACGGACCCCTAATGGCAAGACCTGGGCGGTTATGGACAGCATGGCGTATCAGTACGTCACGGGTTACAACAAGCCGTTCTAGCACGGGAAGGGGGATGGTCTGCTCGCCGTCGACTATCTGGCCATACCGGTTTTCAAGGGGTGAGTTGCGTGGTGTATAGGCTGCCACGTCTATATTGCTGTGTCGTCTATGTCCATAACCCGACGTAGTGTCCTCCCTGTTCCACAACTCCATCGACAGAAACCACTACTCGCTCATCATCGTGTGCGATCCGGCGAGGTTGTGGTGCAAGGACGGCGAGGGCGATGGGGACAAGCTGCAGATGAACCTGTTCGACAGCGAGGGCGCACATGCCGGGGATCCAACCGTCTTTGATGGCGCGAAGCTGTGAGTATGGTTGGCATTGGAAACTGAATCATGAATGCTTGTGCGCCTGCGGCTGAACAATCCCCTTCTTGTACTGGTGCGCATGCTTAGGCTGCTGGATATCACGACCAAGCAGTTGCACCCGGACTGCGACCACAAGCGGCTTGTTTCCACGCTATCGAGCGCGGACTGTGTGGTGATGCAGGTATGAGCCGTGTGGTTAGGCCCTTATAAGGTTGGGATGGAATTTCCATACGCGATAGCCCATGCACTGACACGCCTGCCCATTCTTCCATGCAGGCGCACCAGCTCATCAGGCAGGACAACCTGGTTGACTGTGGCGTCTTCTTGTGCCACTAATTGCGCGGACTCGTAGAGTCAGACTTCTCAACGGTGCTGAAGTATCTGTATTTGGACGGCGTGAGCGGTGGCCAGTACCGCCGGCGCATGCGTGCGGATCTGTGCGCGCATGCATCCTGTGAGCTCGTACCTGCGCTGACCACACGGGGGAAGATTGTTCCACCGCAGTATGCACCTCGGACATTGGAAATCGGCGCTGTGAGGGCGTCGAACGAGGTGGACATGAGGAGCCGTCTCGCTCAGTACCAGGTCGAGGTGTACGGACTACGGAGGGACCATGTCATCTGGGGCGCGGCAGTGACCGCGCTCGGGAACACCATGGGGTACAGCAGAGATCAGATGCTCGCAGCTGCCGCGTACGTGGTGAAGACGGACGGAGGGGCTTATCGGAGCATTGAACCGGCGGCATCACCCTCTACGCCGCCTCACCTACCTTGTGAGCGCACCGGTGGACCCCTCCCCGCCGAACCCTGTGGCGCGCAATCGTGTGCGACGGGAGGTTTTGTGGCACACACGGACCTGGGCGTAATCCATCAGCACCCCCGGCCCCTTCCTTCCTTATCGCGTGTGTCGCTGGCCCATGACAGTCCTGGTGGGCCGAAGACCCCTACCAACGGGAACGGTGAAGTCGCCCCGGGTGTACGTGCGCCGACAGAGGTCCTGCTAGACACGCCTGCAGCGAAAAGGGGGGAGAAGCGACCGCGTGTCGAGGGCGGAAGCTTGGCAGCGGAAGGTACAACAGCCGCTGGTGGTGGGGGGGGAAGTGGTGGGTCCTCACAGTACACCGGGGTGCGGCGAGAAAAGAAGAGGGGGACATGGAGCGCGAAGATATTGGTGAGGGAGCCTGGTCAGGCCAGGCGGACGCATATGCGGTTGGGGTCATACACACAGGAGCCAGAGGCAGCTTACGCTTACGCCGCACCTGCTCATGTGTTAAGGCCTGGCGTCGTCATTCCGCGCACGATCCAGTTGACACCAACGGAACAGAGCCTTCTGGCAGGATGCTCCAAAAAGGTCATCAAGCTCCTTGTCAAGAGTCGGATGTGGTTCCGCTGGAGAGAGTGGGAGCAGGCTGTGCTGGACTGCCATGGAAACATGGATAATCCTGAGGCCGAGACCCCAACCGGGTCTGCAGCAGGAGGGGGTGGGGACGAGGTGGAGGAGGAGGGGGGGCAGGACGCTGATGTCGGCATGGACGATGTGCAGGCGGATACTGAACCTGTCAATCATACTGCTGCTGTTGGAGTATATGGTAATGGGAGGGATGCACATAATGGAGTTCCAGGGGATGATGGAGTACCAGGGGAGGACGATTTGGTAGGGACTCAATTTGGAGAGTTTGACCCGGCTAGCATTGGCCTGTGATGGATGAGGTTGGGAGTGTGTGGTTAGCTGCATGAACTAGAATGTATCATGCGTTGGGTTCGATTGTACCATATTGTTTCCATGAAGGGATTTCCCGACGCCAAGCTCGCTTGTATGATTTTCTTCATGTTGTGTTGCTGTTTTACTAAGCGGTTCCCTAATAGCGAGATGGAATGCACTTAGCAGATACAATGTTGACACCGCACTGGTGTTCGTGATCGGCTCAGTGTATCCAACATGACCACTCGTCTTTACCACTCCGGATTCAGATAGGTGGAGTTGGCACAATCTTAGTGGCGCGTAATCTGGTTATGCTGACGGGGCCAACAAGCACACTTCGGGCTTCTCTAAGAGAACACCAAGCATTGGTGTATACCTTTTGGTTTGACTGCATTTTGGACCAGACGGCGGGAGGCGTTCACGTGAGTTCGAACATGGAGACCTCGGACGTGTCGATCGAGCCCCAGCCTGCTTCCAGGTCACAGCGGGTGTCCAAACCTCCGTCGTACCTGCGTAACGCATACAAGCTGACTCAGAAGCGACAGCACGGGAGAAAAGCGGAGCGGGCGGTTGCAGTGCCAGCCAAGCACGCAAGGGTTTCCCAGGCGAAGGGGGTTCCTCTTAATGGTAATAGTTGTTCAAGCACGACTACGAGCATGGCGTATGATTACCATTCGTCTTTTCCCGTCTTAACGTGACCTTGTTCGTTGTGTTTGTGTGCAGCTACAGCATCCGCTGCGCCGGAGACTTCAGTGGCGGAGGCTGTTGAAATGAACGAACAGGAATGATTGAACTAACAGTGAAATCAGTACAAGTACCTAACCCTAGAATTGTGTACCCCCTATAGGCTAACCCACTGTAGCCTAAACAAGCACAACATATATAATGTTTGACAGAGGCACCTCAGGCAGAGGTGGATGTCAGAATGTTATTCTTATGTTCTAGCCTGTAGTGGGGTGCTCTATAGCGAGTACAACCCTTCTAGGGTTTGCTATTTGTGTCCCCATTTCTGCTAGTTCAACCCTCTTTCTTCTTCTAACTTTTGACAGTGGAGATAAGCATCGGTGCGGGCGATGAGGACATCGAGAGTGAGAGCGAGGCATGCCCGGCGCCGTCCCGGTCAAAGAACTTGGCCTCTGTGATGGCAGAGTCTCAGGTGACTGCCACCACCAGGCCCCGACCTCCGCTTGTGCGCGTGGCGGACAACCCTTTCGTGGCCATGCCTGTAGCTGGGTCGTCTCGTGACCCGTCAGTGCCCGCGGAGGAGACACAAATTCTGGTTAGTCGAGCGGAGTTCGAGGCCTTGAAGAAGGCGCAAGAAGCGAGCGCGCGCAACGTGGCCCGTCTTGAAGATGAGCTGCAGTCTGCTAAGGCTGTGCAGGCGCGTGCACCCCCTCGCAGGCCGGACGAGCATGTCTCGGGGAGCGGTGGAGCTTCTGGTCGGAAGCGGAGGCGTTGGGAAGAACTCGTCGATGAGGAGACATCCGACGAGGAGAGCGAGGATGAGGCACCTGCGAAGAGGGGGCATCTTAGGGTGTCCAAGTCACCGGTCCTTCAGCGGGCGCTCAATTTTCTGCCTGCAAACAAGGCGTGGAAGGTGGGTTGTGACGAACATCGGTGCCTCCACCATGTGTTAGCTGGCTTTGCACCCCTTCCTACGTGCTTTTCGGGGTATTGACGGCGGATGTGTGTGCTTGGTGGTTTTGAACTGGTGGCAGCGCTCGTGCGACCTGGTGAAAGATTACCTCTTCTTCGAGAAGGAGAACGACCGGATTACGTTCTATCCGAGCAGCGACGACAAGACGGTGGGAGTGTGTGCAGTGATCGAGCGCCTGCCTTTCGACTTCGCTACACTGGCTCTGGCCGCGCACAAGGCAAGATAGCAGGATTTGAACAAGGCCCTTAGCGAGTAGAAGTCGGGCGCAGCAGGAAGGACGCGGGACATCTCGTGTCCACGGATGGGGCTTTTCCGCGACGAGCGAGATACGGGCAGCCCATGGGCCACGAAGAAGGACCGTACTCTGGAGGAGATCCGATCGCATTATGGGCTGCTGCTGGGCGTTGACGGTAAGGTGGAGGTCCGTGGATGGAGAGGGAATGTATGCTGGATGTGTCGATCGTGGACTTACGTGAGCGTGTATTTGTGTGCAGATCCCCTGGCATTGTCCAAGTTTGGGAACGATCGGGAGGGGATGTCGTTCGCCTCTGGCGCATTCGTGGCATGCGCGGTAGCGGCATTCAAGCCGAAGAAGGTGGCCGGGCCACTGACGGTGAAGCTTTACCACCTGGCGTGGCTGGAGCATGTGGTACGTGCTTTGTATTTGTTTGTGCTGTGTGGTCACCCATCCTCCCGGCGGCTAAGGGGCTGTTTGCGTGTCGCAGGTGACCGACACCCTGGTGAACTAGGAGGCGAGGAAGGCGCGACTGTCGAACTCTGCTTGTGGAAACGCGCAGGTGGTCGATGGGCTCGTGATCCTTGCGCGTGAAGCAGTGTCGAACGCGATCAGAATTTTCAAGCCTAAGTACGACGTGTACTCGTGCTCGTGGACCTGGGGGCGCCATGGCCTTCGGTTGTCCTCGTGCGGGCTGGAGGACTTAATTCCAGGCCATGCCGCACCCCGTGATGGGGCGGAGGTTCAGGCGGAAGAGATCTCTAGGGTCGCTTGGAGGGCCGTAAATGGTGGGGGCTGAAAGCATGTTTGCCCAGCTAGGGTTTGTCGTCGATTTGTTGCTATAGTTAGGCTGTCTGTGTTTGTTGTGCTTCGTTTGTGTGTATGTTTCTTTTGTGTCGCCTTGCTGTAAGACAATTACGGATGGGTTGTGCGTTGTTGGACACGATGCAATCTCACTCAAACACGTAGGAGATGTAGTCACAACACGATTTCAGCGGACGCCGTATCCGCTATCTTAATCACAGAAGTGCAGTGAGTGATGGGTGAGGATACGTGCCTCCGTTTTCATGAGCTCCGCATGTCAGAATATATAGCTTGTGCTTATTGTGTAGGCTATAGTGGGGTAGCCCATAAGGGGTACAACCCAATTAGGGTTAGTACTTGTACTCAGTTCATTCATAGTTCAATCATTCTCGTTTCAGTTTTCTCATGGTATCGAGCAGGTTCCCTAGTGGGAACTGTGCCTAGGGCCCACCAAGTCGAAACTTTTTTTTCTGCCCGGAGCGCGCTCAGCCCGAGTCGCGCTCCTCTCTCTCATCTCGTCGAGCCGCACTAGCAACTGCGTCGCGCCGCCCTAGCGGCCCCGTCGCCCTAGCGGCCCCGTCGCCCTGGCGGCCCCATCGCCCTAGCGGCCCCGTCGCCTAGCCCTACGGCCCCGTCGCCTAGCCCTACGGCCCAGGCGCCGCCCTGTCCCGGCCCCGCCGCCCTTCGCTGCGGCCCCCCCGCTGCCCTTCACTGCGGCCCCGCCGCCCTTCACTACGGCCCCGCCACCCTTCGCTGCGGCCTCGCTGCCCTTCGCTGCGGCCCCGCTGCCCTTCGCTGCGGCCCCGCCGCCCTTCGCTGCGGCCCCGCCGCCCTTCACTGCGGCCCCGCCGCCCTTCGCTGCAGCCCCGCCGCCCTTCGCTGCGGCCCCGCCGCCCTTCTCTGCGGCCCCGCCGCCCTTCTCTGCGGCCCCGCCGCCCTTCTCTGCAGCCCCGCCGCCTCTCTCGCTGCGACCCCGCCGCCTACCTTGCGGCCCCGCCGCCCTTTGCTGCGGCCCCACCGCCCCTCTCGCAGCGGCCCCGCCGCCCCTCTCGCTGCGGCCCCGCCACCTACCTTGCGGCCCCGCCGCCCCTCGCTTCGGCCCCGTCGCCCCTCCCGCTGCGGCCCCGCCACCTACCTCGCGGCCCCGCCGCCCTCCCAGCGGCCCTGCCGCCCTACCAGCGGCCCTGCCGCCCTACGTCACCGAGCCGCCCATTCCGCCCGAGCCGCCCAAGCCGCCCAAGCCGCCCGAGACGCCCGAGCCGACCGAGCCGCCCGAGCCGCCAGAGCCGCCCGAGCCGCCCGAGCCGCCTGAGCTGCTGAGGAGCCGAGCCGCTAGTGCCGCAGAGCCGCAGTTGCTACTGAGCCGTCCGAGTCGCCCGAGCCGCCGTGTTGCCGAGCTGCTGTGCTGCTGAGCTGCCCGAACCGCCCTGTCTGGTGAGAGCAGCGCTTCAGTCACTGCACTGCCCCTGTCCTACAGTTAGTGCTGCTAGTCTACTACTGTCATGGCTACCCCCAGTGTTCTCGCTTTTGACGCTAAGGGTCGGGCCATTGACTTTGAGGTCTGGGTAGATGACCTGCAGCTTTTCCTACTGTGCGATAGGGCAGACGGTCTCTCCCTCTTTGACCTCACCTCTGGCGCCTCCCCTGCCCCTGCTGCTGACGCTGACGCCACAGTTCGCTCCTAGTGGGCCACGCGCGATGCTGCTGCACGTCTTGCTGTGCGTCGCCACCAGCCTACCTCCGAGCGCGCGCACTTTAGTCAGTACAAGAGTGCTCAGCCTTGTACGACGCTGTAGTTGCACGCTACTCCTCCCCTGCCACTGCTGCACTGAGTCGTCTCATGCTACAGTACCTCTTCCCTGACCTTACTGCCTTTCCCACAGTCGCTGACCTCATTACGCACCTCCGCACTAGTGACACCCGCTACCGCGCTGCGCTTCCTGCTGACTTCTGCGCCAAGAACCCCCCCCCCATGTACATAACTCTCTACTACATAGTCACTCGCCTCCCTGACTCCCTTCACGTAGTCAGGGACCACTTCCTCTCAGTCTGTCCCACCACTCTCACTGTTGACCTCCTCGAGAAGTCCCTCCTAGCGGCCGAGAAGAGCATAGTCGCTGTAGGGGCCTCTCGTGGTGACCCGCGCACCCCCATCTTTGAGGGGTGTTCCCCCTCCCCCCTACTGCCCTTTGTTGCCTCTGCTGCTACGGCCGACCTCCTTGGTCTTGAGTCGGTCGGTGTGGCGTCTGCCCCTAGCGGGAGACGCCGCTCTGGCAAAGGCAAGGGGGGCAGGGGCACTGGAGGGGCGAGCGGGGGCGGTGGAGGTGGAGGTGGAGGCGGCGGGGGGAGTGGGGGTGGCGGTGGGAGTGGTGGTGGGGGTGGAGGTGTCGGTGGCGGCAGTGGAGGCGAAGGCGGCGGCGGCGGTGGCGGTGGGAGCGGAGGTGGCGGAGGTGGCGGCAGTGGAGGAGGCGGCGGAGGCGGCGGTAGTAGCGGAGGCGCCGGAGGCGGCGGAGGCTGCGGAGGCGGCGGGGGTGGCGGTGGAACTGGTCGCGGGTCTACGCAGAGGAGTGGCTCCGGTGGTGGTCCGCGCCAGCAACAGCAGCGCGGTCGTGAGACCCTGTCCCCTCAGCAGCTCCGTGAGTGGTACACTGCACGCCAGCAGGGTGGGGGTTTTGGTCCGTGCACCTACGTCCTACGCACCGGCGACCGTGCGGGTGAGCAGTGTGGGGGTGCGCACCCCACTCAGCGCTGCTTTGGCCGCCTGACGGACGCGTGGCGTCACCAGTTCCCGGAGGCCTCCGAGATCCCTCGCTGGGGCGAGCGGTCTAGGGCGGGTGTTGCCATGTATGATCTTGATTTTGATGCTATTCTTTCTGCCATGTATGCTGTGTCTATTAGTGATGAGGGTGACTGTTGTTTCCCGCCCGATCCAGGCATTGAGACTGCTGCTCTAGGTACTGGTGAGGCGGCTGCCCTAGGTGCTTGCGACGCTGCTGCTCTAGGTGCTAGTGCGTCTGCGTCCTCAGGTACTGGTGAGTCTGCGCTCTCAGGTACTACGTCGGCTTCGGCCTCCCTCACCTTCACCCTTGACTCTGGGGCATCTCGCTCCTTCTTTCGGGACCGCACCACACTCACGCCGCTTAGTCGGCCGGTTGCGGTGTCTCTGGCTAACCCCTCTAAAAATCTTGTCCTGTCTCACTTCTCCACGGTCCTCCCGTGTCCTACGGCTCCCTCTGGCACCCTGTCTGGTCTCTACCTCCCCTCGTTCTCTACGAACCTGGTGAGTGGTGCTGACCTACAGGATGGGGGAGTACACCAGTTCACTCCTGCGCGTCAGCGGGTGACCCACTGCACAAAGGCTAGCACAGGCCGACACCTGGCTACGTTTACCCGTCAGCCGGGGTCGAGCCTGTACACACTGACCACTGCGTCTCCTCCAGTTGTTGAGTCTGGTAGGGTCACTGCGTCGGGTCAGGTGTTTGCTGCAGCGTCCAGGTCTGGTCCTGAGTCTGCCCCCTGTTCGTGTCGTCTCCTGTCTCACGAGACTCTCCTCTGGCACCACCGCCTTTGTCACCCCTCTCTACTTCGGCTCAGAGGCATGGCCTCCCGTCTTCTTGTTTCTGGTCTCCCTCGGTCCCTCCCTCCCCTTCCTCAGGGCCCTGGCCCTACCTGTGTCCCCTGTGTTGAGGGGCGCCAGCGGGCTGCCCCTCACTCCTCCCAGTTTCCTCCGACAGAGGCCCTGTTGCAGACGCTTCACATGGACGTGTGGGGCCCCGCCCGCGTCCGTGGACAGGGTCACGAGCGCTACTTCCTGCTCGTTGTTGACGACTACTCACGTTACACCTTAGTCTTCCCCCTGCACAGCAAGGGTGATGTCACTGAGGTGCTGATCGACTGGATCCGCGCAGCTCGTCTCCAGCTCAGGCAGAGCTTTGGCTCGGACTTTCCTGCTCTGCGTCTGCACTCGGACAGAGGCGGAGAGTTTTCGTCTTGCCTTCTGAGAGCCTACTGTCGCGCACGAGGAATCCGTCAGACCTTCACGCTTCCGGACTCCCCGCAGCAAAATGGGATTGCTGAGCGCCGCATTGGCATGGTCATGGACGTCGCTCGTACGTCTATGATGCATGCAGCTGCTCCCCATTTTCTGTGGCCGTTTGCGGTGAGGTACGCGGCGCATCAGATCAGCC